TATGGATCACTTGGGTTGTTACCAACATCTGGTGAAAATTTCATGTCATTAGCACCTCTAGTAATATATTTACTGAGAAAAATGGTGACGTGATACTTATTTTACCCGCTGTAAATATTGAATATTTATTCATTATTTTATTCAGTTTTGACAGGTGGTAATTTTAACACAAATAATTAATTATGATCCAATTTAAATTTTAGTTTAAGAACTGGAGATCATCTCAAAATCCTCACTTGGTGCTTCGTGACAAACAGTGTGGTCCTGATCTGAACTTGAACACATTTTTTATATGGTTCTATTACAGCCACAACCCAGTGACRTGCTGGCCAAATTAATGTGTTTTGTTTTTGTTTGTTTTAACAGAACAATGTTAAAGGAGGGAAGAAGGAGGTTCAGACGGATGAATGGAGACAAAAAGATGTAGAAGAGCGGTTGGAGTATGCCCTTATCAAGGTAAAACACATTMACTTACTGAAACACAATACTGTACAACCTTTTGCTCTCTGTATTTGTATCAAAGTCYCCCTTTACTGCTACATAAAAACTCCTAAAAATGTTTCATTGTAGATGGAAACTAGAGGAAATACATTTAAGACCCCCACAAAGTAGGGTTGGGCATAATCGCATCGTGTGCAATTACTCGTCAGAAAAACATTAATTGATTATTTTTTGGCACTTGATGATTAATAGGATTAATGCCACCAGACAGAGTCTGCTCGGTGCTCCTCCCCACTTCAAATATGATGAACATTAAAAATAAAGTTCTGTAATTTATTTATTTATCAACACAATTTAAAATTTGATGTATAGCCTGAAGTCTGTAATTTTGACACAATTTGGAACAGATTTCTAGAGCAAATCTTTCCCACTAAACTGGTCATGTGACCAGGACATAAGTGTGTCCAGGGACTCCAGGGGATTAATCATCAAATTAATCGTTATCGGCTAAATTCCACAATTAATCATGATTAATTTTTTTGCCAGTTTCGCCCAACTCTACCACATACTTGAGTGTACTTCACTCCAGAGGTCTGCCTGGACTCAAAGACAGGTCCGCGTAGAGATCAGTTTTGTTTGTCTACAAATACACACTCAGTGTCGCACAATCTGCTGCCTGGTGAAAAACGGTGTTCAGATCAAACTGCTTTAAATGCGACACCGAGCAGAAAAGGTAGAGAATCAGCGCTGTCTTGTGGACGAAATGGAGTGAAATTATGAAGAGCTTCTCACAAAGGAGATTAGAAAACATAAAAACTTAGGG